AAATCACATAATTAGCCAAAAAATCATGCTAATCAATTGAAAACCACTTTTCATAATTCAATAGAAATATAAGTCTATTTATCATGAGTTAAGACTAAAACTATATTATTTACTAATTATTAACTCATGATAATAAAGACATCAATAACCTAAATGATGATGTCACAAAAGAGAAGTAGTAATAGAAGTAACAAAAACTACTTGAATGCTAGAAGAAGGTGCATCCGAGACAAGTTTGTAAATGCCTTGACCATTCTCACACCTCAAATCAATCTTCTGTCTGGTATGTAGATCTTGGAAGACATAGTGGAAGAAAAAAGAAATTACAATACAAAGTAGGGCACGAGTGATGGCACTAATAAATAAAAGGTTTATAAGAAAACTAAGAATGTAGAGGACTTGCATAAAGGTCACAGTGGTAGTGCCACAACCTTTGATTGAGTAAGTTCCAGCATAGGTAATAGTCTTCAAGGGGGTGAGTCATGATGTGATGAAGTGAGAAATGTATGGAGGGTGTACTAGTCATATGGGCAAAAGCCTCCAATTAATAATCCAAGGCGATGAGGAGACAAGTAAAGCATGTGTACTTAGTATGGAGGCTCCCGATATAGATGCAAGACTGACAAAGGAAAGTGTATAAGAGGGAGTGATCATGGACCACTTTTAAGCTTCATATTCCACTGACATGAAAGTCATGTGAATAGTAGGAGTAGATGTCGTAGAGTGAATTGTAGATGAGGCCGATGTAGAAGAATCCGAATGAGTGCTAAAGATAACAATCTGAGCCCACTCAAACTTGCTGAACTCCTTCCAACACTTGTTTGACGAGTAACTTGACTTACCACAATAAGGGCATGGTCGAAAGGCATTACAACTTTTGTCTTTAGGAGGATGACAACTATCAAGGTTTGGGATACAACCATCATCCCAACCACAAGGAATAGATGCAGCTAGAGCCGATGAAGTCGATGTGGCAACTAACCAAGTGATGCTTGATTGAGTAGTAGGAGTGTCCGTGCTCACACGAAGTGTTGTAGAAAAAATTGATGGAAGGTTTGGCACATGATCACCTAGAGAGTTTGGCCACAAATTTATGACGCAATGCTCCAATGTAAACTATTGAGATATACACCAGCATAAAACTTTTGGCGATATCGCTTAAAGATTTAAAGTGTGATCACTTAAGTCATCCAAAGTGTGTATGGAGTAAGAGATCACCTTGCTTACAAGTGAGAAGAGACTCGAATAATTATATGGTACAATTGATGTTTATCTTATAGGCATACATGATCTTCATTGTGAGCCAAAGTTATTTGATAAACATGATATGAGTAAGGGGTTCAGTGACAATCTACTCAATACTTTAAAGCATTCAAGTGACTACAATTGAGTCATTTGAGACAAAGAAGCATAGGTCAGGTCAATGATAGCCAACAAATTATCTGCCAAATGATGAAGTAGATTGTGAGATGTAAAGAAGTGCCTAAAACCCAATGCCCATGATGTATAATTGAGACCGGTGAAGAGATATATTGATCAAGTTAATTGCACCGTGATGGAGTGTCACAGAGGAGGGCTTATGGCAAAGACACATTGACTAAACATGGGGCGGTGGGCCAAGGTCTCTGAAGTGGAGAAGATGTAATATTCTGATTCTTAATGATGACAGGAAATAATGTACCAATGCAAGTGCAAGAACGTGTAGCAAGGGGCGAGACGTAGTAGGAAATGGTGCGCAACAAGAAGACATTGTGATAGGAGTTGGTGTAGTAAGAGACAATATAGCAAGATACTGTAATATACTGCAAGATACTTTGAGAGGTAGTGTAGTATGAGAAAATACTACGATATAACATGATATACGGAGAGGTACTACAAGATACCATGAGATATTATGGCTGCAGATACTGTGAGAATGGAAGGGGCTGCGACGGCAAATGTCACGACAGCAAGGGCTGTGATGACAAGGACCATGATGGCAAGGGCTGTGACAGCAAGGGCCGCGACAATAGGGGGGCCACAATGGTAGAGGCTGTGACAACAAGGGGCCACAGTGGTAGGGGCTGCAATGGCAAGGAGCCATGGTGGTAGGGGCCATGATGTGACTCAGTCGTTGTATATTAAATCACACAAATATAAAATTTATAAAACTAGAAAATACGAATTTTTGGATATTTAGAAGTATTTCTAAATAAATATATTAATTATAATTCAATAAAAATTCCAAAAAAAGTGGTAATTTTCTAGGTCAATCACAAGGATGTAATATAATATCTAGTAATTATTCAAAATTTTTCTCAATGAATACGATTTTCTATGAATTTTATACTAGGAAATAAAAAGGAAATATATTTAAAATTCACGAAAAAAGGAAATAAGGGCATGAACGTCAAGATGATGTCAGCGCCTAGCGAGCGTGAATGAGGCGGAAATAGAGTTCTGCCCAATGATTCTTACGTAAGCAATTACAGATGATTTAACTGATCAAATTAAGATCTGTAAAAGCCGAAAGAATCGTAATAGAACAAAGTATATTTTGGTAAATTAAAAACACAAAAATTATCACTAAATGAAGCATAAAATAAATTGAAAGTAGGAAAATAGAGTTCCGGCATCGTGACAGCGATGCGTCAGTGATGCACTAGAATCCTGAGCATTCGGGAGGATCGTCGTGCAGTGTCCATGGCCTCAAAGGCTCTCCTTGGACAAAGATGACGTGGGCAATCTCTAGATCTTCTCGCGAAGTCTAGAGATCAATGAAGTAGATCGTCGAATCGTCTCCAGCGGCTATCACCCGGGAGAGCAGAAAAATGACAACTTTGCAGCTCTCTAGTGGTTGTCACCCGACAAAGAGGAGTTGGATGGAGGTGGGGCGCATGTCAGTGAGCTTTATCCTCAAGTCCGCACAGCAAGAGGAGGCTCTTCATCGCATCTGATATGCTCTCAAGAGGTGGCGACTCGTCTCCTAGTGGATCGTCCTCTTCCCAATAATGACTTGTTCGTCGATCAATCAAAGATGATTTACTCGATGGATTCGCTATCCTTTTATCACAAATCATTCAGCAATTTTACTAATAATGCTCTGTGAATCATGTTGACGAGATTTTTGCCGATGATCCAGCGATTCTCGTTGCTTAATCTTTCGTCGACGATCTGCAGGAAAGTTGCGATAATCAGATGAAAATATATGAATTTGATTCTAGGAGGATTCGAACCCACGCCGGTCGCTCGCCTGTGAGGACATCCAAATGTGTTCCTCCATCACTAATAATCACTCTAGGACATCCAAATCTCGAAAAAATATTTTCTTGCACAAATTTCATCACGATTTTATGATCATTAGTTCTAGTAAGAATAGCTTCCACCCACCTCGACACATAATCAACAACAAGCAAAATATATTTATTTTTTTCAACTGATGAGAAGGGACCCATGAAATCTATTCCCCATACATCAAAAATTTTGACTACTGACATGTTATTCATGGGCATTTCATCTTTTTTACTCATGTTACCTATAGATTGGCATGAAATACATGTTCTACTAAATTTTATAGAATCTCTAATGATTGTAGGCGAATAAAAACCACACTGAAAAAATTTTACAACTGTTTTTCGTCTAGAGAAATGTCCTCTACAGTTAGATGAATGACACATGTTAATAATGCTATGATATTCTTCTTCAAGAATACATCTCCTTAAAATTTGATCATTGCCCAAGTAATATAAATCAGGATCATGCCAAAAATAATTTCTAATCTTAGAAAAGAAATGATGTTTTCTGTTCTTATCCCACTATTCTAGAGTTTTTTCAGAAATCAGAAAATTAACAATATGTGCATACCATGGTGATGGTTGATGTTGAGCTGCCATCAATTGTTCATCTGGAAATACATCTTGTAAAGGTGCTGCATTTATTCTTGTATCACTTAATCTAAAAAGATGGTCAGTAACAATATTCTCGAAACCTTTTTTATCTTTTATTTCTAAGTCAAATTCCTGCAACAATAAAATCTATCTTAATAAATGTGGCTTTGCATCTTTCTTTTTTAATAGATATTTTAATGCTGCATGATCAATATAAATAATAATTTTAGCTCTCAAAATATATGATCTAAACCTTTCTAACGAAAATACTATAGCTAACAACTCTTTTTCAGTCGTGGTATAATTTAATTGAACATCGGATATAGTTTTACGAGCATATGAAATTACTATGGGTTTTGACTCTTTTGTTTGTCCTAGAATAGCCCCCACTACATAATTCGATGCATCACACATTATTTCAAAAGGAAAGGACCAATCAGGAGCTTGTAAAATGGGTGCCTCACTAAGTAATCTTTTTATTTGGGAAAAAGACTCAAAACATTTCTCATCAAAATTAAAAGGCACATCTTTAGATAATAGCATGGTGAGAGGTTTATAAATTTTTGAAAAATCCTGAATAAATTTTCTATAATAACCTGCATGACCCAAGAAAGATCTAATCTATTTTATTGAATTTAGAGGTTTTATTTTAGATATAATATCAATTTTTGCTCTATCTACCTCCAAACCACTTTCACTCACAATATGACCCAACACAACTCCCTCTTTAACCATAAAATGTGATTTCTCCCAACTCAAAACTATTTTTTTCTCTATGTATTTCTTAAGTACATGCTGTAAATGATTTAAGCATTTATCAAATGATTCATCAAAAATAGAAAAATCGTCCATAAAAATTTCCATGTATTTTTCAATCATATCAGAAAAAATAGACAGCATACATCTTTGAAATGTGGCTAGAGCATTACACAGACTAAAAAGCATGTGTTTAAAAGCAAAAGTACTAAATGGACAAGTGAAAGTTGTTTTTTCTTGATCTAAAGGGTTTATATAAATTTGATTATAACTAGAGTATCCATCCAAAAAATAAAAAAAGTTTTTTACAATTTTCATCATGTTAGGATTTAATCTTCGGTGTGGTTCCTTGCTAGTTCTACCTCCTTCCTCTAGATATTAACTCTGCATGCATACACTCATATCAATGCCCCTTAGATCATCCATTTTCCAGCCCATAGCCTTCTTATTTTTTCGAAGTACATCTAATAATTCTTCTTCTTGTTCATCACTCAAATCAGCTGCAATAATAATAGAAAATAAATTATTTTCCTCCAAAAACATATATTTTAAACTAGAGGGAAGAGGTTTCAACTTTAAATTTAGATGATCTTCCTCTTTCTTTTCTTCTAAATTTATATTCTTTATTTCCTCTAATTCTTCCAACACACAGTCATCAATAACATCTGGATCATCAAAATCATCTAGAAGATCTATGGTATGACAATCATATACTTGGGATTTTTTAAGATCATTTGATACCTCAAAAATTTTAATTTCTATTGATTGATCTCCACATGAAATTTTCGCAATACTTGTGAGAAAATCAATATTCATCTTTGTTATATGCAAAAATGGTCTCCCTAGGATGATTGGTGTATCATAAAACTGTCCATTAAAATCCATTTCCAGCACTACAAAATCAGCTGGAAATTTATACCCTTTAACTGTCACTATCACATTTTTTAAAATACCTTTAGGATGTTTTATGGATCTATCAGTAAATTGTAAGATAATAGTAGAAGGTTTAAGATCAGAAATATTAAATTTATCACAAATACTTGCAGGTAATAAATTAACACTAGCACCAATGTCAAGTAATACATTTTGAAAAATGGATCCACCAATATCACACGAAATTAAAGGGGCACCTGTATCTCTCAATTTATATGGTAATTGATTTAATAATAATACACTAGTATGCATAGATAATTTTTCTACTCTAAGTGTCCTTTTTGGTGTACACATTTCTTTCAAAACTCTAGCATATTTAAGAATATGTTCAATGACAGTGAGTAAAGGAAGACTAATTTACACATCTTGTAAAATTTTCTTTATTTCTTCATTGTGTTCCTTTTTCCTTCTTTGTCTAGGCTCTAGAGCTTTAGGAAATGAAATGGTTGTCCTCTCTTTTGAAATTTCTTTGGTAGAATCTATAAAATCCTCTTCTACTCTTATTTGATTTTGTTTTGGGTTGTCCATCTTTTCTTTTTCTTCTAATGTTTGGGGATAAGGATCAGGTAAGATCTTACCACTCCTTAATGCATTCATTGTCCTAACATTTTCATTTCGTGGGTTTTTTCTTAGATTCATGCTACTAAACTCCCCTTGCTGAAATCTTATTGTTGGGCGGTTCCCTAGATTTTCTATGGGCTGACTAGGTAGCTGTCCCTCTTCTCTCTTATTCCCAAGAGCCTCTATAATTTTTTTCTAGTGCAGCATCATTTGATTCATAGTTTGTTGCATCATTTGGCTCATTTGTTGCATCATTTCCATAGCATCAGGTTGGATTTGAGAGGACTGATTTTTCTGAAATCTGTTTTCTTATTTTGGATGAAATTCAGAGTTTGAATTGGGTCTAAGTGCCTTTGGATTTTGAATATTATTTAGGTCTCTCCATGAAAAATTATTCTTCCAATTAGAATTATAAGAATTTGAAAAAGATTCCCTATTTCTATTAAAACCGTGAGCTACTTGCACTTGTTCTTGCATAAGGTGAAATGATTGATCTAAATTATAACATTGAAATTTAGAATAATCATTTTCACCATATATAGGACATGTACTATTTGAATTAAGTTGAGGGTTAAAAGGCTTTCTAATATTGTCAATAAGTTAATCATTTTTTTCTAATCTTTGATTAATCTAATGAACCTCATTTCTAAGTTTAGAATCATCATCATGATGTAATTCATAAATTCCTCTCTTCTTATCCCTATCATATAATTCAAAAGAGGCTTGATCTCTAGAATTTTCACTTAAATTCTCATAAAGACTGTAAATCTCATCAGGAGTTTTCTCTATAAAAGCTCCTCCACATATAGAATCAACCATATTTCTATATTGTTTTAATAATCCATCATAAAAAATTCTATTGAGCTGCCACTTGGGTATAGCATGATGAGGACACTTTCTAAGTAAATTTTTGAATTTTTCCCATGTCTCATACAAAGTTTCTCCTAGTCTTTGAGAAAAACTCCATATATGTTTTCTCATATTTTGAGTTTTTTCTAAGGGATAAAATTTTCGAAGAAAAACCTATTCTATATCTTTTCAGCTAGTTAATTCTCTATCTAATGTGAATATCCAATGACTAACTTTGTCCCTAAGTGTATGAGGAAATAATTTCATCTTAATAATTTCTAGTGTAACTTGAGGGAGATTAACTAAATCACAAACCATATGAAATTTTTCTAAGTGCTGATGAGGTTTCTTTAAAGGCAATCCATGAAATTTAGGGATCATTTGAAAAAATTTTGGATTTATTTCGAATTTAACAGTGGGTGCTAATAAGACTCTAATATTAGATGCTCTTTGAAATGAATCAGGGATATAATGATTTTTCATGGCCATAGGATTGTTTTCAGTTTGACTTGTACTTCCTTCAGGATCCATCAAAATTAATTTTTCTTTCGGATTTTTATTTTTGAATGAAATAAGGAAAGGAGTTTCTAGCCTTGGATGCAAAGCCTTCTACCATGCATAAAAATCAATAAATTTGAGGGGAAAAATTAGTAACTGTTACCCTCCTTCAGGATGCTCCAGTCCTTGCCGTGCTTCTTTTCGTTCCCTTTTTCTAATAAAAATCGGCAAAAAGAAAATAAAACATGAGTTAAGTTTTTTTTTGTGTATATTAAGAGAAAAATAGAAAAATACTTAATATTATGCAATACATCCCCAACAACGGCACCAAAATTTGACGTGACTCAGTTGTTGTATATTAAATCACGCAAATATAAAATTTATAAAACTAGAAAATATGAATTTTTGGATATTTAGAAGTATTTCTAAATAAATATATTAATTAGAATTTAATATAAATTCCAAAAATAGCGGTAATTTTCCAGGTCGATCACAAAGATGTAATATAATATCTGGTAATTATTCAGAATTTTTCTCAATGAATATGATTTTTTATGAATTTTATACTAGGAAATAAAAAGGAAATATATTTAAAATTCACAAAAAAAGGAAAAAAGGGCACAGACGTCAAGATGATGTCAGCACCTGGCGAGTGCGAATTAGGCGGAAATAGAGTTCCGCCTGGCAATTCTTACGTAAGCGATTATAGATGATTTAATTGATCAAATTAAGATCTGTAAAAGCTAGAAGAATCGTAATAGAACAAAATATATTTTGGTAAATTAAAAACACAAAAATTATCACTAAATGAAGTGTAAAGTAAATTGAAAGTAGGAAAATAGAGTTCCGGCGTCGCGACGGTGATGCGTCGACGATGCACCAGAATCTTGAGCATTTGGGAGGATCGTCGTGTAGTGTCCACGGCCTTGAAGGCTCTCCTTGGACAAAGACAATGTGGGCAATCTCTAGATCTTCTTGTGAAGTCTAGAGATCAATGAAGTGGGTCGTCGAATCGTCTCCAGCGGCTGTCACCGAGCGGAGTAGAAAAACGACGACTTTGTGGCTCTTCGGTGGTTGTCACCCAATAGAGAGGAGCTGGATGGAGGTGGGGCGCATGTCAAGGAGCTTCATCCTCAGGTCCGCGCAGCAAGAGGAGGCTCTTCATCGCATCCGGTACGCTCTCAAGAGGTGGCGACTCGTCTCCTGGCAGATTGTCCTCTTCCTGACGACGGCTTGTTCGTCGATCAATCGGAGATGATTTACTCGATGGATTCACGATCCTTTTATCACGAATCGTTCAGCAATTTTAGTAGCAATGCTCCGCGAATCGCATTGAAGAGATTTTCGCTGATGATCTAGTGATTCTCGTTGCTTAATCCTTCACCGATGATCTATAGGAAAGTCGCGATAATCATATAAAAATATATGATTTTTGACTCTGCGAGGATTCGAACCCACGTCGGTCGCCTGCCTGTGAGGAAGGTATGACGCGGGTTTAGGCCCACATCAGTTGTGCGCCAATTTTTCGGGTGAATATATAGTAATGTTAGCTTTGTAACAAAAGTCTCTTCTCTCGCGTGTACGACTACTCCTTGCCCCACAGCCAACTGGCCACCAGTGACGTGGAAGGAGAGTGGTGTACACGTGCTCCTATCAGTCCAAGCTAAGCCGCTCGAGCCCCTGCTCGCGGCTACTCCCCGACTGCACTTCTGACCTGCTTGTGGGCCCGGCTGGCCGGTAGGTCCCCCCATTTTGTAATATTTTTTATTTCTTGTTCTTCACTTATCTCAAAACTATAAAAATCATATAAAATCACATAATTACCCAAAAATTCACGTTAACATAAATATAAGTCTATTTATCATGAGTTAAGGCTAAAACTATATTATTTACTAATTATTAACTCATGATAATGAAGACTTATCAGGCCGCTACAGTAAGGAGGGATTGTGGCATCAAGGGACTGTAGTGGCAATGGGCCACAATAGTACAGGAGGGCTGTAGCAGCAAGGGGGCCACGATGGCAGGGGCCGTGATGGTAGGGGGTTGTAGTGGTAAGGTAGGCGCCGGTGTGCTAGTTGCATACAGTGCAACAACATGATGGCTATAGAGAGAGAGGACACCATGTAGAGGATGCGACAATAGTAGCATGATGGTAGTGGTAGTGGCTGAAAAGAACCCTAAGGCTCTGATACCATGTTGACAAGGAGTTAAACCTTAAGATTATATTAATATTAAATGAAGAGATATATGTGTTTATAGAGGTGGGAGAAGAGAGAGAGATAATGGGCCCAAATAGGCCACGTAGAAGAAGACATTCAAACAACTCAATCAAACATATAGTCTAATTTTTATATTTGATCTTGAGGTAAATTATAAATAAACTTAAATTTTACATAACTTTTTATTTAGATATTTTTTACACTCATTTATGAGCATCCCTTAAGTCTAATTTGTTGAATAACTCTAAGCATATTTTTATTCTCTTAAAAGAGTCTCCTTCTCAAGTTTTTTTCTTAACTTTGGGACCTTAGGATTATTATTAATTATTTTTTTTTCAATTCAGTCTCAAGTAGTTCTTTTTCTTTAGTAGACTTCTTTATCATTTTCTTGAAAATAATTCAAAACTATTCTTTCCTTAACAGTTCACAGTGTCTTAGAAACAATTCCTTCATCACTTATTTAGTCAATTATTTTTAGTTCTTATCTACTATTAATAAGGATACAATATTTATACCCAAATGAAAAAAATAAATTGTAAATGCCCTCAATGTTGACACAGTAAGTTTTGACACATACAATAGAAAATTTATTTATTAATTCTTCTTAAATAAGTTAAAGTATAATTATTCTTCTACATCGTAATTATTTTGATCACGAGACATACATTATTCATAAATATTTAAATTATATATATTGTTATGTGTAAACTTATGGATAATAACAAATCTAATGAGTCATAACTTTAAGACATTTTTTATAAGTATTCTCTAAATATAAATATTACATAACATATATTAAACACGTGTGATGAAGTTTCATGTATACTCTGAAAATTAAAGTCACCAATCATATTCGAATGTGACGGCTGAGCAATGTGAAGAAATGAGTGTTAATACATAAAATATCTCAAATATCAAAGACACATTATGGTTGACATGTGCTTTGAACTTATTAAACAAGATTTGCATAAGTTAGAAAAATAATAGTTGAAATATTTAAATATAAGTATGGGAAAAATTATTAATCAAGAGCATTATATTAGTGATGTGGAAAGTTAGTCAAACTATTCAAAGTAAAAATATGTGATCAGTGACTAAAGGAAGACTCAAACCTAGGACTCATAAGGTAATTAAGCTAGACCATTTGCATGAAACAAAGGAGGTGGAGAAGTCATCACCACATAACCTACATGATGACATATTTAAGTCTTACATAATGAAAATGAGAAAGTAGAAACAATCAAACTTCAACCTAGTGTCAAGAGCAAGATCAACTGTGTAAGAAGAACAAATCTCTAGACATGCACTTGAAAGTTTGACCCCCACAAGTGAATGACTTGTCATGGAGTAAAAAGAAACACTCCATAGTGCTATGAGATAAACCTATTCCAATCAAGTTCCAAGAGACATCTTGTTTCAAAAAATGTGATCTGATGATATCCATTGATTAGTGATAATTCCCTAAATGATCATGTTAAAAAGGGATATGATTAATGATTAAAGCCTAAAGAATAGAAAAATATGATAATTACATATTAAACACTTTACTTATACATTTTACACTCTAGTTCATGAATTATATCATTTTCTTATTTTCTACAAGAATTTGAGAGTCAAGATAGATGGGGAAATCAATTTATTATTATGATGCAAGAGTATGAGAGGAATTTATAACCATGATGCACAGCCAAGGGAACATAGTTTCCCCTAATCCTCTAAGTTCATCATAAGCACTTATATAATATGTGAATATAAAAAAGGTAAAAATTACAAAGAAAACTTACTTGTAAATCTTGTAGGATGTAGGGCAAAACTAGAAGGCTCATAGGCACACGATCCCAAAAGAAGGGAGCTGCCACCAGCCCTTTCCTCATTCACGATCAGCTCTCTCTCTCTCCTTCCTCCTTTGGTGCATCCCTCTCCTACTATTGGGATGGCCTGCTCCTCCTCTCTCCCTTGGCACCATATGCCCACACCATAGGTAGGCCAGCTCGTCCCTTCCCTCCTTCTAGTGGTGATAGTGCCGGCAACGATCGCGGGCTTCCTCCCTTGATGGAGCAAGACGAGGATCAATTGAAGATGCCCCTACATGAGGCCACTGTTCTCTCCCCACATCCATAGAACAAGAGGGAGAAATCATTTTTATTTTGTTCCTTTGACTTTCATGTGATTGAACATTTTTTATCCTAGCTAATATAATCTAAATTTTGTGAAACTTTATTCTCCTTTGCCTCATTGATTTTGAATAGTCAGAGTCATTGAAGGAAGTGGAGAATCATCTCCACTGGCCATCTGTAATTTATTTATGAGGTGGCTGGTTGAACCTTGAGAGAAATCTTCCTCTCAACATGTATTGAATACTTTCTGTTCATGGCTGTTGAATTTTTGAGAGTAATCAAACCAGAATATGATCATTAATTAATATACATCAACTAATTCAAAGCTCTCATTGTGTTTGACTTGGTTTTCTATTAATTCATCAAGAGATTATTACTAAAAAAATCAATTTATAAATTGAAAATTGATGATCTTAATAACAGCGACGTAAGAGAAATCAATTAGTTAAAAATCTTTAGACACAATATCAAAGACAACATACGTAATAGCTAAAATATTAGAACTAAAGTTTAACAAAAGGTCAAAAGTACATATTCTTAATAGTAACTCATTAATAGAAGACATAAGCTAACGACAAGTCAAATGATTTCCTCAAAACAAGAGCATAAAATAAGAAATATTTATCGATTAATTGTAAATTTTCAAACACAACATCATGAACAATTATCACCAAAATAAAAATATTGAAAGTAAAAAATAATTAAAGGTTACCAGAGCTTTGACAGAGCAATAGGAGGATATTTAAACTAACATGATTACTTTCAAATGCTGAAATGACTAAATTTATTAGAGTCTAAAGAGAATGAACTGAGGACAATTGAAACTAATGTCGAACAAAGAAACATCAATCTATGTCACTCACACAAGCTCAAGATGAAGATCCACTCAACTTTCTACAATAAATAATTATACATTTGAAAGAAGGATTCAAAACTTGATCATATTCAATCATCTATGGTAACTTATAAATCAAATAATCATGTTGAAGGAGAAATGGTAAGACTAAAGTATGAGACACTAAGAGCCAAAATCTATAAATAGAGGATGTTATTTTTTTGAAGAGAACTATACTTTGACTTTAGTACATAGTGATGTGCGTTAAAACTTACTCGTGAGGGTTGAGATCTTTGCAAAGATTAAATGATATTATTTGAGAGAGTTGAATCCATAAAGTCAACTATATTTCTATTGAAAATAATATAAATTTAGTAGAGAGATTTTTCAATACTGGACGTAGCCCAAATAAGGTTGAACCACTATAAATCTTTGTGTCCATCATTATTAGGAGTGAGAGAGAGTGAAGGTAGAGTGACTGCATAACAAAGATAAGAGTCTTAGGTTGATTTACATATAAACTTCACAAATTGTGTTAGAATGTGTGTTGAGATAGATACACAATTAGAAAACAAAGTAAACCAATTAACTCCCCTCTTAGTACACTTTGTTATAACAAACCAAGCATGTAGAGATTAATACTAGCTCCTAAGTCTAAAAGTGCTTAATGAAAGGTAAATCTACCTATGTTGTGTGAAATTAAAGGAAGAACTATATTTGTATGAATTTAGAGATCTGATTCATGAAGACCACTTATTTCAATAAATAATGTGATCTTCTTAGGTCCTCTATGATGTATACATAATTTTTTAAGAAACATAGCATAAGTATTCACATATTTTATAACCTCTATCAATGGAATATTAATGTGTACTTATTTGAATACTTCTATCAACTCTATATTTTGAACTAATTTCTTCTGAGTTGAGGTTTTAAAACTTTAGAAAAGAAATTAGAGGGTTGATAGTTTCTAAGACATGTCAATTTTATCTTATCTTTTTCTTTACCCTCCAAATTATTTTTTATGTTAAAATCCTAGGTTTTGGACACTTTCAAGTGAAATTTTTCATATATAATATTTATAGAATATTTATTAAACCATCAATAGACATCATGAGAGCTTATGTTTACACATTATCTCTGAAAAATATTCAATATATCTATTTATGATGTGCGAAATAATCATATAATGAAGTTATATGATTATATCCTTAAGATGTTTTCATGTAGGATATAATGTAACATCATATTGTTTTAACATAAGTATAGAGGAGCATGCATCAACACAAGTGACAAAGTTTCACATACAATCTAGAAATATGATGCCACTTACTAGATTCAAATGTAGAAGTTGAGTGATTTGAAGTAAAAAGTTTCAATGAAAAAAGTGCAAGAAAAAATCAAAAGTGATGAAGTTGTATGTGATATTCAAATTTAGGACTTCAGCTATGAAAAGACATAATTTGGCAGTCAAAATATTTGAATATCACAAATATTAAGACATTCGAAAGATTTAAAATCGAGACCTCAATAGTGACATGTTGGAAAGCTGATCAAGGAAAAACAAAGTAATACTAAATGATCAATCTCAAAACCTACATAGTGACTGAACTGATGTATTTACATGAAGTTCTCACATATATAGAGATGTCTTCATTACGTATCCTAGATGATACCTCAACACAATACATAGTAAAATCAACAAAACAAAATAGACTTATTTTGACTCAACTTCATTAAGAAAAATAACTATTAATGAATCATGTATCTCAAGACTGAAGCTTTGAATATGATATCTATGAGACTACATGTCTCAAAGTGAGGAATGACCTAAGGTTAGTAGCACGAATTTTGTATGGTAACACATCAACAGAATATGTCGACAAAATGACAAGGTCAACGATTATACTTGAGTTTGACCTTGAAAGTAAAAATGATTGTTGATCATTATGTATTTCTAAATAAAATATTAAACATAACTTATATGAGAATGAAAATGATTGAACTTAAGAACAAATGAATGCTAGTGACATGAAGTCTAGATGATAACATGTTGATAGAATAAGTGAAAAAATGTGACGAGTTCAATGACCCTATTTGAGTTAGACCTTGAAAGCAAAAATATATGTTAATTTATTGTGTCAGGAGACACAATATCAAGGACAACTTATATGAAAATAAAAAAAGGTTTGAACCAAAGAACAACAAAAGGTTACTAGCACGTCAATACATCAACAAGAATAATTTCAAATTTGTGTGATCATTTCTTAGGTGATGAAAAGACAACAGGGTATTGGAGGATTTAAGGAAAATTACAAAGAACTAGAACAAATGTAGAACGAAGAAATTTATTGGCCTAATTCATTCATGCTAAAAAATTATTAAACAACTCATTCATTCAAACACTTGTATGGATTGTTCACAATTCCTTTCAATTATTAACTTTACATTACTGAGAAAGATATGCGAGTTGTTCATCATGACCCTTTGAGGGATCTCTCCCTCTCTATTCATCGATCTTTCCCTCTCCTATATTTCAGTATCAATTTGTTTCTTTCAACATCTATAATTCGTGGTTATCTTGGTACTAGGCCATTTTTATGGTCGTTTTTCTTTGTTACAATGGCTGATGCCATCTGTTTAAGCTGCGGTTTTATATGGCTAAGCATGTGACCCTAGCTTATACTCTTTGTCATTTCCATGTGAGCTATATTATTATCATTAGTTCTGTGGTTGATTGTTATCAAGCTGTATAGCACTTCAAATGACTAATCAGTTGGAAAGGTTCAACAAATTTATCTATCCTCCCTTCCCCAGCTTTTCTTTTCGTCTCTATAAAATAATTGCCCTACTACTATTTTGGCTAATACAATTTACCAACGATAACTTCTTGATGAGAAAAAGGTAGTTACTTCCAAATCCCGACGAGCATTTCGTTCCTTAGGTACACTCTACAAAAGTAAAATTTGAATTGGGAACCCACCCTTATTCCGTTTTCAAAAACTTGTCGCTCTTGCTAATCTGAGTCCGGGGCTTATCTCTTCTTAAGCTGGAGTTGTGCTCCTCATGCGGAACACATACTCCAAGGCTCCATGACTGTTGAATACATTCCCTGCTGGACTTGAGGGGGTCATGAGTGAAGTACGAGTGAGTGCATCACGTCTCAAAGAAGCCACCGCATCCTTAGCGGAGACACTATTACGGAAGCAAAACATAACAGACGGGAACGTTCGAGCCTGTAAACACAACAGAGAAACTACACAACAGACCGCCCAGAGAGCCGCCGCCACAAGTTTAGTAGGTCACCACAGCCGCATTACGAACGCTTACGCCATTGCAAGACCAACCCAGCAGGCCGCTGACGGTGAACCCCGTCCCGGAGCCGCTCCTCGCGAAGGTCACCGTGTACTGCTTCTTCTCCCCGGAGGAGAATGTGAGAGTGGCCGGTCGGACGGTCGCCGACACCGGGCCTAATTCCGGATTCAGGGCTATGCAGGTCGTCCCCCGAGGCCCCAAGTTGGTCAGCGTGCGGGTCACCTCTCGTCTGAAGTTGTTTCCATCGTTCAGGAAGATCCGGAAGTTGGGATAGTTCAGCTCGTCCTCCTTGATAGAAATCACCGACGAGCAGTTCACGGCGCGGCCAGCGATGATGCGGATCTGCCGATTCGTATATCCGAGGCCGCACAGATAAGCGATGTAGTCGCTTGAGCTGACTTCGTAGACCAGGCCGGCGTCAACGGCCCCCCTAGCGTCTACCTCGCCGGCACCTATGTCAAAGCGGGATGCCGGATTCCCCACGTGGTCCTCGATCCGTTTCCCAGCGTTGCCTACTTGGCTCGCCGAGGTCATCAGCGACGACTTGATCGCCCCCGGCGACCAGGTTGGATGAGCAGCCTTAGCCAGCGCTGCCACGCCGCTTACGTGGGGTGTGGCCATGGAGGTACCGGAGATTACGAAGAAAGACGACTGAGCGTCGGGGGTTCCCACCGGTGTAGGCCACGCCGCCAGGATGTTGACACCTGGGGCGACGATGTCGGGCTTCAATATTCCCGGGCTGGAGATGCTGGGCCCCCTCGAGGAGAAGTACGCCACCGCCGGAGTGAACTGCCCTCCGGTGACGGTGCCCTTGAAGACGATGGTAGCCGTCGGATTGCTGCCAGACGTTATGTACTGTTTTATCGCCAATCCGACGTGAGAGCTGACGTGGGACACCGGAAGGACGTGGGGCTCCGCAAGGGTGGTGTTCCCCTCTCTCGCGGTGTTCGCCAGGATCATGGCTGCACCGCCGGCGTTCCGCACGCTGACACCTTGGTCGGTGCGCCTCACGTTCAGGGTGACATCACATAACACCACCTTTCCTTGGATGTTGACCAACCTCAAACATGATCCCCCAGCGACTAGAGGTCGCTGAGTTGAGGGGGAGGATGGCTGGTACAGAGACTCCCCGTCGAACTCGAGCCCATTTCCGAGCCTAACCGTCGCGCGGATGCTCCTGTCCATGGTCGTCGCGCCGACCGTCAGCAGCCAAGGCGCCTCGTTGGAGAGGGTGCGCGCGGACGGCCCATTGTTTCCCGCGGCGCAGCTGACGAAGATGCCCTTCTCCACCGCCTTGAAGCCGCCGATGGCAACGGGATTAGCGTCGAAGCTGCTGGATGGGCCACCAAGAGACAGCGACGCCACGTGGATCCCATCGCTGATGGCGGTGTCGAGACCCGCCAGGATATCGCTACTTGGACAGCCATTGGAGCCGCACACCTTATAGACGGAGATGTAGGCCCTGGGAGCCACGCCGACCGCTGTGCCCTGAGCCTGCCCGTACGACGCGGCGGCGTCGACAAAGCACCCCGCAGCGGTGCTCGCGACGTGTGTGCCGTGTCCCTCGGTGTCGAACGGTGCCGTCCCCAGAGAAATTTCGCCGGCGAGTCCATCGGCATGCATCGCTCTCAGTCCCAGGGTGAAGCCTCTCGCACCGATGATCTTGGTACTACATCTGTTTGGTCCGAACTCGCACTGCCCCTTCCAGGTAGAGGGAGGAGGCGGCAAATCGCAACCGAAGGAGGGGTGGTCCGGATTAATCCCGGTGTCAAGGACGCCGATGATTACGCCCTCACCATAGTTGGAGTCGTTCCACACGCCGGAGGTTTGCAGTCTGAGGTACTCGGGCGAGTGGGTCGTCTGGAGTGGGATGAGCTCGTCGGGGTAGGCGGCTAGGAAACCGTCCATCTCCCTTACGACTGCCAGCTCCTCCTCGGTCAATCTGACGGCGAAGCCAGTTATGACGTGCTCGTACGAGTAGAGCAGCCGCTGCTCGCCGGAGTCCAGGAGGTGGACCGGCAAGAAGGACCTGTGCCAGGCCTCCCTACCCTCGGGGTCTCCTCCCACATGAGGCGGCGGAGCTTCAACATGGATGATGTACGTTGTCAGCCGGCTGCCCTGAGACCCCGGCGTCGAATACAGCAGGATCTCTTGTGTTTCGACGGCGACGATCCGATTTGAGAAGAAGAGGATGAAGTGGAGCAGGAGGATTGGCACGCTGTATGTCACCCTGGAGGCCATTGCCACAGTGAAGTCGCCAGGGATGCTGCGGCAGGGCGGTGCTGTTGTGTATTATTTATAGCAAGCTAAGGGGAAGAAGCCCCACGCATCCACATCCCAGTTTTAATCCAGATTTAAATAATTCACTAAATCATGTGGATGGTTGTTCATCAATGACCCAATGGTAATAAGAACGCACTCCTAGACGTGTACTTGGTCAGCCAGCATGAGCCTACTACCGCGTCAACGGAGATCCATTTCTATGGATCAAGCGGCATGGATCACTATCCTCATTCTGGATAGGTCTACCTACTACATGAGATGGGACAGGCTCGCCATGCACGAGAAATGTTTTCTCTTAAAAAATAATTCATCACGAACAATAAACGAAAGACGGATTATGATGGTAGATGAGACCATCCAGTTCTCATCGCCTCACCTAACTGCCACCAAATGTCATGGCGAGTGGCGAGTGGATTTTAAGATGCAACAGAACCAAGCTGATTAAGAAGGCACGTGGATGTAGTGAACAGAGAAACATGTTCGTGTTCGTAAAGATAAAGTTCCATGTTCGTGAAGTACCCCTAATCTTTTGCGCGTAGCCGATGAAAGGAGCCGCCCATCTTGTATTTTCGGATATGCATGTAATTTCTCTAGTCCGCGAACATGCACTAATAAACTGACTGGAATAATGTTTGTAGACTTACCTAACGAGTCGAGGAATTTTTGCATAATCGTGCGCTAGCTTTGTCGGATCCGAGGGATGGGATTTCTATTGGCTAGACCGTTGACTTTCTCGACCAGTACCCACTACGGGGTGGTAACGTGAGAATGGGTGCCTGTCCAGCCCATTGCTTATTATAATCAGAGGATTTTTATTTCTTCTAAAACAAGAAATTTGTAGAGATGACTCAGCGGGGAACTCCAAATTGGAGCAGGTAGTGTCTATAAATCATAAAAGTAACTATATTTGACGTGCATTTCTATAATATATTTAGAGGTAGAGGGAGAGGGAGAGATAGTAACAGGTGGATGGGGCTATTCTTTTGACATCCTCTCAAAGTCAAAATATCTCGGTAGGCGCTTCAATCACGACTCTTGATCCTTCTTCTATTCGAAAGCCAATTCTATAGATCGGCGTGGGCCCTAGTCCTGGCTCTAACCTTGTTCATCCTCAGGTGTGGATGAAATGTTTTGTGGATATCAGGCCATGCCACGTCCAATATGGGAATAATAAAATTGAATTATAAAGTTTCAACGGACGAAGATAAATACGATTACGCAAAATTTGATCGTCTCCCATTTAAATACATAAATGGGTGCGAGCACCATCTATCAATGATGTGGCTTTTTTCAAAAGGTTATTATAATCGATTTAGTCAAACTCTTACGCTACCGATGGACGTGCCCCCCTACGCTACCGGCCCATGAAGCCCTGTCGAGGAAGCAGGTATATTTGGGCCTATCCCCACATACTATGTCGAATTGGGAATTTGCCCGATCTGCCGTACATCCAGCCCGAAAGTAACAGTCCCATCGTCCTCCTCCGCTCCCCTACTTCTCCCTTCGTGCTTCCTTCTCCCTGCGGCATCTTCCCTTTCTCCTCCTCCTGGCGGCGTTCCCCGCCCCTGCTGTGTCCGACCTCTCCTGGCTTTCCGCCTCTGTCTACTCCCCTCGCGGGGTACATCATCTTCTCCCCCCCTTTGCGTCCTGTTCCTTGTCTTCTGCGGTCACAGATCGGTTGCGTCGCCTGTCCAGTGCTCCCATGCTCGCGTCACAATAAACAGGAAAACTACAATGAAAGTAAAAGTGCCTAAAATTGGATGCAAAATTACATAAGGAACTTTAGGCAAGGATACTCAATATAGGATATTAGTTTGTTTAATGGATTACCCGATGTTATCCTTGATGGAAAAGTTGTTGAAGAAGTATGAACATTTAAAAAAATGTACTATTCAAATTTACAAATATTTAGATATCATGAATAGGACCTAGATTTCTGGTGATGAAAGTAAAAGCTTGATCTAGAATCAAGAAGTGTATCCTTTTTGGTTACACAAATGGAATGAAAAGATAATTTAAACATCCAATAAACATAAAGATTGTAGTTAATAGAGATATTTTTTTATGAAACCTCAATGCCAAAACTTTTGATGAAGAACATGTATTATATATTAAGAGAAAGGGAATCCAAAAAGGAAAACATTCAAGTGGATAATGAAGAGAAGTGCAATTCTCATATTACATTTGAAGTGATTGTTTCTATTGAAGGAGAGGTTAATATAAGTGCCTCCAAAATGGTTAAATGAATCATTAATATTCTAATGAGGTAGGGTTTTTGGTGGATCTTAATTATTGTGTTATAAGATAAATAAAATTTCAAAAATTCATAAACAAAATTTCATCAAGATTAGTGAATTCAGGTCATCTCCACACGATTAAAGACAAAAATATATCTCTAATTCGTTCTCAACACTTCTTGAAGGGTAAACAACTAAAAATTAAAGATACAAAATAAATGATTTCTTTGATTGCCAAGTTGTCACTGTCACGCTCCCTTGTCTCTATTTACTTCTGAAGTAAAATATTTATTCTTATTGATACCTTGATTGCCTCTAAATCACCTTTAATTCATTCTGATTCAAGAGTACTTGAAGAATAACCTAGACAAATCACAAAAACTAAGGAAAAAGAGAGGAAATAATATATTAGATGATCTACAACTCAATAAAATATAAAAATAGTAGAAACAATACTAGAAAATCACACTAGTACTCCAATGTCACACACTAAGAGCTTTGAAGGAAAAATCAAGCAAAGAAATAAATTTTAAGGAATTTAGAAAGGACTATAATCAAGAAAGGCAATACTAAAAAAATTAGGAAGTTTAAATCATGAAACTTTACTTGAGAAGATAGGACTACCCGTATTCCTTCATGTCCCCACAAAGATTGAACATGTCCTCCTCTCCCCCAAGAGAAGGGAGAAACCACAACCAGCCGAAAGAGATCTCCTCTTTTCCCTAATCTTTTTCAGTCTTTATTTAAGTCAAGAAGGCAAGAATGTTTTATCCTAAGTCCTTCTAACAAATAACATAAAAAAATTAATCTAATATGAGAATGATGCAAATGTACAGCTGGGTGTTCTTCCTTTCTCAATTTTCATGCACTTACTATTTTGGCCTAGTTGAAGTAACTTTGATGACTTACGCATGAGTTTGTTGTCCTATCAAAACTGTGGATTAAATCTCCGTTTTATTCTGACATGGCTTAGAAGGCTTGGAGACTAAATAATAGGGCCTAACTTACTTATCACATATTAATTTGAAATATAAATTCAAAAATATATTATTGAAAAAGATAAAATATATTTATATGTAATCAACCTTGCATGGTTTATATTAACACATAATTTAAAAATATCAACTAAAATCATGAATACAAATTATTCAAAGTGCAAGTTTAACCATGAATTTTCTGTATAATATTTTGACATAAGTAAATATATTATAATTTAAATATCTACATTTAATCATGAATTTAGGTTATTATTATATCTGTTTTACCTTATGTATCACATAATATTAGAGTGTTCTCAGTTTTCATGATTATATTTCTTTTGTGTTGGCTTCAAGTGAAGGTGAGACTACATCTTTTTAAGAGTCAATTAATTACTAGGAAAAGGATAAATGAGTGAAAGTAATGATAAAAGATGTAGAGTTATTATATAAAAATAAAAATTGGGATGTACCAAAACTCTCTAATAAGAAAAACACAATGGGATGTAAATGAATAATCAATAAAAAGAAGTTGTACCTCAAAATAAAAGAATTTTTTTTTCAAATCAATTGGTAGCCAAATAATATTAATAGGAGAAGGAAGATGATCACAATAATATATTTCCTCTGATGGTAAATTTTTCACCAATAAAGGTCGTGTTAGCTATTCTTAAATATGAAGACTTGGAGCTAGAACAACTTGATGTGATGATTGAATTTCTCCATGATTAATTGGAGGAATCCATTTTATATTGGGTAGCTTCAAGGTTTCAAAGAACTAAGAATCAAAACATGTATTTTGTAGGTTTCAAAATAAATTTCTGACTAAAATTAATCTCTAAAGAAATGATACAAGAACTTTTACTCTTTTATGATGTATATTGGCTATGCTGTATGTGATATAATTAATGTGTTTACATGAAATTGCTTGAAGATTGACCTCGGATTTATTTAATCCTATACATAGGTCATATGTTGATTACTATAAAAGATATGAAATATTAAAAATATATATATTGAGTAAATAATTTGAAGTGAGAGACTGAAATTTAACTAAGAATATAATTAGGATAGAAATTCATAGAGACAAGAAGAATGAGCTGCTAGATATATCACAAAATAATTACATCTCAAAAAGCTGTCGACGTATTGGTATGAACAAGTACCAAATGGATAAGCACTTCTTTATCTAATATTCAAACTATTGACTAATCATAATCCAAAATTAATTCAGAAACTGAAGGGATGAAAAGCATATTTTTTAAATAATGAGAAGCATAGTGGGTTCAAAGATATCTCAAGGGTTTTACTGATGTCGGAATATATTATATTTAGAGAGTAAAAATTAATATTGTTGACATTAATTTTGAAATTAATTTAGATCATCAAAGATCCACCACATATTGTGTTTAGTTTTACAAGGGATGAAGTCTACAAATAATCGTCATATTCTCCACAATACAGATAAGTATATGATTGTAATTGAGGTAGCTAAGTAAGGTTTGTAGATGAAAGGTTTATTGAAGGAGCTCAGCTTTAATCAATCTGAAGTTCATCTACATTGCAACACTTAAAATAACATTTATTTCACCAGAAATCAAGTCTACCATGCAAAAATAAAACGTATTAGTATTACATTTCACAAGATCTAAAGGCTGATTAATTTAGTAGATACCATAAAGAGGGTGGAACATCCTCTCATAATACAAATTCAGGACAAAGCATCATCATTATTAGTTGAGAT